ACCCTAAACCCTATATCCCCAAAATTACCATGCGACTGGGCGGCCACTGTGCAGCTCAGCAGAACCAGGGCCAGCGGCACCAGCAACGCTGCCGTGGCGATCTTGGCGATGGCGCTACCGCGGTCCTGCGTTTTAAGGGTTTAGGGTTTAGGGTTTGGGGTTTATAGAAATTGTATAGGGTTCATGTTCAAAGTTTTGACCGAGTTTTGTGCGGTTTTGAGCGAGTTTTGAGCGAGTTTTGAGAGTTTTGAGCGAGTTTTGGTTTTGCTTTGTCCAAAACTGGTTTGGTGCAGGGGGCGGCACTGAGACTGAATGGGGGGCTGGGCCTTTTCTAAGGCCTCGGGTTTTTGTGGGCGTCTGAGCCTCTTCCCAGCCTTTTCTGGGTGTCGGGCTTCTGGACCTCTTCCAGCCTTTTCTGGGCCTCGGGGCCTCTTCTAACCCTTTTCTAGGGCCTCGGGCCTGTTCTGGGCCTCTTCCCAGGCCTCGGGGCCTCTTAGGCTTTTTCTAGCTTCTGGACCCGCCTTTTCTGGGCCCCACGGCCTCTTCTGAACCTTTTCTAAGCCCTCCGGCCTCTTCTGTGTCTGGGCCTCGGAGCATCTTCTGGGCTTTTTCTAGGCTTCTGGACATCTTCCCACCCTTTTCTGGGTTTCGGGGCCTCTTCTGAACCTTTTCTAGGCCCTCTTTTCTGGGCCTTTGATGGGCTTCTGGGCCTCTTCCCAACCTTTTCTGGGCCTCGAGGCTCGTTCTGGGCCTTTTCTAAACTTCTGGACCTCTTCCCAACCTTTTCTGGGTCTCGGCCTGTTCTGGGTAGGCTTCTGGACCTCTTCCCAGTCTTTTCTGGGCCTCGGGGCTTGCTTCAATTTACTTAAACCCTTCTTGTGTATTCTTGCTTCAAATTACTTAAAACATCTTTGCGGCCTGTTGTTTGCCAGAGGAGAATACAATTTCTATTTATCCTGCCTTGAGGGTTTAGGGTTTAGGGTTTAGGGTTTAGACGATGTAGGGATCTATCAGTTTTTCCGTCTTGTCTGGGGCTTAGGGGGTCAGGGTTCTGGGCTTTGGAATGTGGCATGTGGGTTGAGGGTTGCGGGCTCGTAAATCCTAACCCCTCTGCCCCAAACCCTGAAATCTAAACCCTAAGCCCAGGTTAGAAGCATGGGCCCCTAATGTGTGCCCTCAGGCATTTTAGCGGGATCTTAGGGAGTCGTAAGGCCCTATCCCTATATGTACTAGGTATGTGAGGATCTCATGGTTAAGGGCCCATACTAGGGACCAATGGTTTCAACATGAGACCTAAGCCCTAGCCCCTGCGGTACAGAGTCCCTCAAGGCCAGTCCTTGAGGCTGCCAACTTTTTCTGGGAGCGGGTCCACCACTTTCTCAAAAGCGTCCACGGCGCTATTGAAGCTTTCGACCTACTGGGATTTAGGGTTCAGGGCTTTAGGATTTAGGTTTTGGGGGTTTAGGATTTAAGGTTTAAGATCTAGAGGTTACAGGTTTAAGCGTTTAGGGTTTAGGTCAGGGTTTACCCTCCCGAAATGATCATGAAACCCATGTAACACCCTCTTTGAAGGGACCATGTATGGTAAAGGCTTAGGGTGTTATGGGCTGAGACCGAATAACTGCTTCTGCCTGGAACCCTAAAGCCCTAAAACCCTAAAACTCCAAACCCTAACCCTAAACCCTAAACCCTCAACCCTAAACCCTAAACCCTATATCCTAAACCCTAAACCCTAAGCTCTAAACCTATTCCACGGCTGATGGCATGTAAGGCTCCAATCTGAACTGCTGCTCCGCTTGGCGAAATGGTTGCCCATTGTCTCCAGCAGCTGGGCTACTGTTAAGGAACTGAAATTAAGTTACCATAATGGGTATATAGGGTTTAGGGTTTAGGGTTTAGGGAAGATGGGTCTATAGTAAAAAATAGGGTTTCCTGAATCAGGAAACCCTATTATGTACTATAAACCCTGATTATAGTAACCCTAAACCCTCCATATATGTATATATACACACACCTATTTGTACCTATATACCCTATATGACAGAAACTAAACTTATGTTCCTTAACCCTAAACCCTGAACCAAGCAGAAGAGCTGCCAAGCTCGCAGCAGCCACCCCGTAACCCTAAACCCTAAAACCTAAAACCTAAACCCTAAACCCTAAACCCTATCCCTGTCTCTTGAACCTTCCCGTGCACATCTAAACAGCATACACCTATGGACGGCCTGCAAGCCTCTTCCACGGAGAACTTTAGGGTCTTAGGGTTTAGGGTGTTAGGGTTTAGGGTCTAGGGTTCAGGGTTTAGGGTTTAGGGCTTCAAGGTTTAGGGTTTTATGGTTTAGGGTCTAGGGTTCGGAGAAGAAAGAGATCCAAAAAAAACTGCTGGCCTTCTGTCTTCGCAAAAATCATTGCTCCACCTTCCCAGCATGGGCTATTAGACCTTAAAGGCCCTTAATCTACCCTTATGGGTTTAGGGGTTTAGGGTTTAGGGCTTAGGTCCCCTAATCTACCCTTGTTAGGGTCCTGATGGGGAAGTTTAAGGTCTAATAGCCCATAGTGGTCACCCAGTGCCACATTGTCGACATCGGGTCGGCGGCGGCAACTCACGCAAGCGCTTCGGGAAACTTGGCGCGTGGAACAGAAGACCCATGAGGGCTGTCTCAACAAATGAGTAGTTTTTTTGGTGATTGCACCTAGTAAGATAATATTCCTTATACAGAATACTATACCCCAAAAGGAGGATGTAATCTTACTCTATATTGGGTACCATAGTATCCCCAAATAAAATACTACTCAAATTATATTCCCCCTTATGTATGGTCCCCCGGAGTTGCTAGTTGAAAATTATCGTCCCCCTTAAGGGATTATAGGGGTTATGTAGGGGTTATATTGGGATAATGGAAAAGAAAATGGAAACTACTACTTAGGGTTTAGGGTATAGTCCCCCTTGAGCCCTTAAGTAGATAGAATATGGGTTACATGGGGATCTTATTATAATATGCCCAAAGCCATATCCTCTCTACTTAAGGGGGACTATAGGTATGCCCGTATAGTCCCTGGTATAAGATAGGCTGAGAGGAGTTCACTCTATGGGCCTTCCATGTTAGTTTAGAGCGCGTGCAGCTCAGAGAAGCCCCGCAGACCCTTAGGGTTTAGGATTTAGGGTTTCGGGTTTAGGTTTTAGGGGATTGTTACTCCCTTGAGGCCCTCAACTCCTCTGTATCAACTTGCATGGTTTGTGAAAATCTGTAGGTCACCCCCTAAGAACGGTACATGATGTATAAGTCTGGCTAAACCCTAATAAATTTGAATTGAAGAGGCCAACAAGTAGAACATACAGTCAAAATTGAAGCCAAACTCCGGACCTGAACCCCACACAATTTGTATACACCTTTCAGCTGTGTAATAACAGAGAAAGGGCATAGAGGATGGGCTCCCTGTACGGATGAACCCTGAATAAGCCTGTATAGTCCTTTAGGATTTCAGGCTGGGTTTAGGTTTAGATTTAAAGGTTTGGGGCACAGAGTTTAGGGTTGTTTTAAGGTTTAGGGCGCAGGGCTTCGGCTCAAGGATTTCAGGCTGGGTTTAGGTTTAGGTTTACAGGGTTTAAGAGTGTGGGGCTCAGGGTTTAGGCCTTTGGGTTTCGACGAGACTATGATATTTAGGGTTTAGGGTTTAGGGTGATGAGACCTTTAGAACCCCCAAAATGAAGAGAGCGCATCCTCCTTACATACGGCGATGCCGACAGTGAAGGACGCCATCCCAAAAATGCATGCCAAACCCAACACTTGAAATAGACCAAAACTGGGTGGCAGTCTAAAGGCCCCCCCATTGTTTTTGAATAGGGTCTTGTTTTTCAGAAATTGCTTTGCCTAAAAATGTTTATGAATAGGTTTCCATGTAGAGGGTAGGTCATTTATTCTCCCGAGGCACCTGGGAAAAGGATGACCCCTCAACACCCATCAGTCCTAAACCCTAACAGGCTTATGAAGCAGTCAAAAATTTAGGAATTAGGGGAGGGTTTAGAGTCTAGGCTTTAGGGCTACGGGTTTAGAGTTTAGGGTTTATGGCTTAGGGATTAGTGTTTGGGGTTTAGAGTTTGGGGTTCAGGGTTTAGGGTTTCGAGTTTGGGGCTTAGGGTAGGGCTTAGGGTTCCCCAGAGAAAACATGAATCGTTGAGAACCAGAACGCCTGTGACTCGATGCGGTCGATGTAGTGCTGGACCTGGACAAACATTTGGACAATGGAAAAGAAAATGGAAACTACTATTTAAGGTGTAGGGTTTAGGGTTTTATTTTGACCCATGGTGAATAAACCCCCTCCTTTTAAGGGCCGCAGGATTAGGATCCCTATGATAATCCCTATTGAGGGAGGGGGGGTATTAATCAGGGGTCTGATTTACCCCTAAACCCCGCACCCCTAAATTAAATCTGAGGCCTGCAACCCCTCATTCCGCAAACTTAAACCCTAGAAATTCAGACCGTAAACTCTACATGGCCCCTGCATGTAGCCTAGAACCCTAAACCCTTATTCCCCTTCCCTACATACCCTGTAGAATCCCTTTCTGAAGTGAGCCCTAGGTCCTCAAACCCAAACCCTAGACCCCGCGTGCAGCCGTGGAGCTATAGTCTTGGTGCCAGGCGGGCAGGTAGAGGAAATGGCCTCGAGATTCTCGAGCATAGCCAGCCCGGTAGCCTTTATTGGGTTTAGGATTTGGGCTTTCCCAAAAGTCGGGGGTCCCTATAATGAGATTATAATTACAGCACTTAGGGCATTACGTTTGGGACACGGTACTCACGGAAGCTACCATTTCTGGGTTCCCGGTCCAGAGTTCAGGCTTTAGGGTTTAGGGCTTTGAAGTCTAGAGTGTGTTGTTGATGGGCACGATGGTCAAGCTAAATTCATCGGTTGGGCTATAGCCTAAACTCCTAATCTCTCTCTTGATGAGCCCTATAATACTCCCCTATATAATCCGCTAAGAAACCGCCTTTATAAGAGTTTAGACTGTAGTCCAGTTTAGGGCAGAGCCACGCTAGTAGCGGTTTAGGGTTTGGGGTGTAGGGCTAAGCCCCCGGTCCATGCACCCCAAAACCTATTTCATTTGGGTTTAGTCAGGGTGTAAACTTAAGGGTTTAGGGTTTAGAACCACCCACAAGCCCTTGACCTCAACCTGCCGCAGCAGTTTCTAAAAGCCTAGAATTCGAAACCCTGAACCCTACACCAGGTCCAGATACATCCCTACTAGTAACAGTCGAATGTAAGGTAACTCTAGCTCCGGTACATCTTTTGCATTGGCCTACGCAAACCCAAACTCTAAACCGATCCCCAATCCTGAAACTGCTGAAACCCAAAACCCGTGACCCCAAAAGAGCCCCAAAACTTCAAAAAAAATGAAACCTTGACACCCTAAAGAATCCAAAAACCTACGGGTTTAGGGTTTAGGGTTAAACCCTGAATTCTAAACCCCCAACCCCAAACCCAACCCTACTGGCCGCCTTCATCGTAATCCCCTCATCTTTGGCCGTGCCCACATCGCGCGAGGCACGGGAAACTTGATTCTGAGCCGTGTCGAGGGCCTTGGCACAAAGAGGGGTCCAAGGATGTGTCGGGAAATATAGGGATGTATAGCGATCTTTAAGGATGTATAAGGATATGTAAGGATGTGTAGGGATATGTGGGGATATGTAGGAAAATAGAAGTACATGTAATGAGAACTAGAGTTTGAGGATTTTTGGGGGGTCTAGGATGTAGGACTTCGGGGTGACAGGATGAGAGTTTGGAGATCATAAGTTTGAGGCTTGATGTTTAGGATTTGAATGGGTTGGGGACCATTTGAGGGCGGTTAGGGCGTTTAGGGTTTAGGGTTTGGGGTTTTGGCGGGGGTCAAGGTCAGGGTTTGGGTTGGAGTTTGAGGCTTGAAGTGTAGGATATGAATGGGTTGGGGACCATTTGAGCTATAGTCTAAACTCCCTAGTATCCCCCTGAATAAGCCCCTATAGTAGTCCCCTATATAACCCCCTTGAAGGAGTTTAGACTATGGCTCTATGGCTCATTTGGGGGGGTGGGGGTTGAGGGTTAGGGTTGGAGTCTAATCCAATTCCTCAATGCTTAACGAACACCCCACCCCTCCCCCCCAAAAGAAAAACACAGCTGTGCACGTACATATTCCGGTCGATCTAACTATCTACCTGTCTATCTCTCTCTCTCTCTCTCTCTCACTCACTCACTTACTCACTTTACATATACATATATATATATATGTATGCATATATCGAACCAACTATGTGTCTGTCTATCTACCTGTCCTTTCTTACATGGATACATACATACATACATACCTACCTACCTACCTACCTACCTACGTACGTACGTACGTACATACCTACGTACGTACAAACAAGCTTGCGAGACTGTAGGAAACACCTAGCAGTCGGGGATAGGGGCATGGCATACATTCGCAACGAGAAGGCCAATAGGTTCGAAGGGATGAAAAATTCTACGGTTTAAGGTTCAGCGTCTACAGCATAAGTCTTACCTGGAGAGTCAGGGGGACTTAGTAAGTATACTTATCGTCAGAAGACAAATCCTAACCGCAGTTATCCCCACTCTTGATCACTTACTAAATCCCCCGACCACTAAATCCTAGAGCTGAAGCACCCCTAAACCCAGTCAAGGTTTAAGGCTAAGCCCTGAAAACCCTATATGTTGCTATTTCATATTATCATGTCCTGTTATTATGTACGAATATACAAATTTTTATAGACTGTTATATATTGCTTCTATATTATCATATACAACTTACATACTACTGTGTATTATTATGCAGTCACACTCCACCGGAACGTACACTGTGACCTGAACAGCTTCCCCAGGGCAAATCTCCTCTGTCGGACAGGCTGATGGCGGGGCCGAACGCCGAAACTTGACTGTGGCTTAGCAAGCCCCAGACCCTAAACCCTAACAATAATTATAAGAGATGGGTCCTAAGCTATCAAACCCTGAGACCCTAAACCCAAAACCCTAAGACCCTAAAACCTTAAGTTCCTACACCATAAACCCTATTGCATCCCGTTATGTCCTTACAAAACCCATACATCCCCTCTCAAGGGACCCCTAACCGGGACACCTACACGCTGTCATATCTCTTCATGACCTCTGCGTAACCCTAAACCCTAAACCCTAAACCCTAAACCCCCAGACCCGAAACCCCCAAAGCCCTAAACCTTTGGCGCCTTTGAGCTCGTCTCCCAGTAGATGAAAGCTCCACTCAGGACCAGCACCTCTTCTCAGATGCAAGGTTCAAGGTTTGGGGTTGAGGTTTGAGGGCTTAGGGTTTAGGTTCAAGGTTTAGGGTTTAGGGTCTCACGGCTCTGGTTTGGTGGGGCTTGATTCTCGTCTATGCCGAATACCGTCACACACAGGTCAGGCTGCGTGCGGTTAAAACGAATGTGGAAATTCTCGAAACAAACCTACGGACCACATTTTGCGCAGATAAGGGCCGATACTTTGGTAACATTTGAAGAGATACTGGTTTTGAGAAATACCCAAGAAGTCTCAGAAGGGCAGCTATGCATGGAGGGCGGAGGTTCTCCAGGGTGTGGCGTGTTGGGTTCGGGGTCGGGGAAAAAGGATTTGCTGTCGAGATCCCTGCACTTCATGGCTTAGCATTCAGGGTGGTCACCAACCTACCTGCCAACAGGAAGCCCTCAGAAAGCAGCGCTTAGACAAAACCACCTCAACTTTCAGAACCCTTCACCCGCAAAAAAGACCTTGAGACCGCCTTACAACAGAAGAAGATTCAGAGCAGTTACCAACTTTGCTTCTCTCCCATGAAAAATGACGCCTGCAAAGCTAAAGCGCACCAATGCGTAGATCATGAAAGCTACCACAAAACCTGTCCACTAATCTTGAAACTTAATCTTGAAACTTAATCTAAAGAACAACACAGGTGGGGTGCGGTGAAGGCGAGCATTGTGTTAAGGTAGGGGTGGTACACCTACATATACCCCACAACAATATAGTAGTCAATTTTCTCATCCATGATCCCTGCATTATCGCTAAATATACCCCAAACCCTAAACCTTGATGTTTTGGGCCTACATGGCCACATGGTTTGGTTGGCCAATTCAGGGGTGGGATACTGGAAAAGAAAATGGAAACTACTATGTTATCACAGGGTTTGGGGTTGGGGGTTTTCTTCAGGCCAAACCAAAAGAAGGCCGTCTTTGACGCCCTGGCCTCCCTAACCCCTACGAGCCTAACCACCCATAAAATCTCGCCTGAGGGTTAGGGTTTAGGGTTTGGGGTTTTGGTTTCTATCCCGCTTGAAACTTAGGCTTTAGGGTTTTAGGGGGATTTGGAGAGCTACAAATCTGCGCAGAGCGGTGCACCAAAAACCATAATCAAGCTTCATCCTACAAGAACACAAACAACTCCAAAGCCCTATGTAACGCAAAGTGTGATCCTGATGTTTAGGGTGCCTATATACCTCATGTATACCGTATACGTACTCTGCAGGCCCCTAAACCCAAACCCTACACTCTAAACCCCTAAACCCCTAAACCCTACACCCTAAACCCCTAAACCCCTAAACCCCTCACCCAAAACCCCTCACCCAAAACCCCTCACCCAAAACCCTACACCCTAAACCCCTAAACCCTAAGCCCTACACCCTACGTCCCCTAAACCCCAAGTCTCTAAACCTCAGTCCCTGGCTATCGATAGCACGCCCAGGCAGAAACCTGACTTTTCCAAGCGCGAGGGCTGGGGTCTAGGGCTTAGGGTATAGGGTAAAGGTTTAAGGCTTAGGGTTTAGGGCTTAGGGTTTTAGGGTTGAGGGTTTTGGGCTCAAGGTTTATGGTTTAAGGTTCAGGGCTTAGAGTTCCTGGCCCGTGTTCCTGCCCGGGTACCGCACATAGATCTTTTCTCAACTAACCCCCATGACCAGTTCATCTCAAACCCTGATTAGGGTTTAGGGTTTAGGGTTTAGGGTTTTAGGGTTTAGGGTTTAGGGTATAGGGCAACAACTTCGAATATCAAATTATCTTCACTCTTGTATTCTACTAGCAAAGCTGGGGGGGAGCCGTGACATCTAAACCCTCTGTGGGAGGGTACCGAACCAGCTCAAGACCTTTCAAGCAGGAACCCTCAATCCTCAAGCCAAAGAGTTTAGGGCTAGACCGGAGCACTGGGTCCTAAGGGTCCAAGTACCCAATAGTGATATACTTGCCCAGAACCTGCACTATAATTACTGTTACCCCAAATCCAAGTACCTAATAATTGGGTACATGGACCCTCTGGGTGGGTCCTACATCCTGCTATGTGTGTAGACTTAGACCTTAAGCCCAGAGCCTTACGGCCCAAAAACACCGCAGAATCAGAGGCCCTAGAATCCTGAACCTCCACCCGCAAACCTTGTAAGCCTAAGCCCTCAACCCTGAAACCCAACCCCCCAAGCCTCATAACACTCAAGCCCTGAACCCCAAGCCCGTAAACCTTATAACTTATAACCTTAAGCCACTGAAAGCTTGGAGCCTCTACACCCTAAACTTTGAAACTCAAAATCTCCAAAAAATCTACAACCCAAAAAACCCTCAACCGCACAAGCCTAAGGCCTGAGACTAAAAACCCCAAAGCCCTTGCACCCATGAACTCTAAACCCTGAACTCTAGGCCCCTAAACCCTAAACCCTAAACCCTAAACCCTGAGCTCTACAAGACAAAGCCCAGCAACTTGGAGCGCAAGAGGGCGCACGTCGAAGGGAGTGGCGCCGGTGGCAGCAGCAGGAGCTGCACAGGACCACCAGGGTCAGGAAGAAGCCTGGCATAGGGCTTAGGGTTGCTGTTACTATAATGGGTATATATAGTAAATAATAGGGTTTCCCCAATATAGTAACTTAATTTAAGTTCCTTAACAGCAACCCAGTAGGGCTGAGGGTTTAGAGTTTAGGGTTTAGGCTTAGCTGGAAGGTTCATGGGACTTGGCAGCTGCTTATAACTGAGCTTCTAACCCCGCTTATAATCCCCTAGCTGGACATAAAGAGGTTGCTCAGTTATTCTAAGTCGGGTTATCCGTCCAGGTACAACGAGTTGCTAGACCCCATGAACCTCCAAGTAGGGTTACAGGATTGGGAGTTGAGACTTGGGGTTTAATGTAGACCCATGATTAATAAACCCCCTCCTTTAAGGGCCGTAATATAAGGATCCCTACTATGATCCCTATTAAGGGGAGGG